GGTCGGGTTCGAGTTTGCCAAAACCCACACCCGATCTGACCCATTTACATCCCTAGGTGCGGGACGCAGGACGACACGGGCAGTCACGCGGGAATAGGCGATACGGGTGGCACTGGGCGCGTGCGGGTGGCGCTGGCAGAGGCCTGGGGTCATTGACAGCCGTCATCTCAACCGATCCTTTTGGAGATTGGCTCGGGCGTTCAGATCGAAATTTTAACCACATAGAAGAAATGGACCAATACACCAAAGATGGACTCTTAAATCAATTCCTAACATGCAAAACGAATTTTTGTAAAAAGGACATAATGAAGGGTTTCTGGTTCATAGGGCTACATAAGGAATCTGGACTTGAAATTTTAACAGCATGTTACACATGATAAAGGACTCCTATCCATATAAAATCAAGCAATTTGGACGAGCCGATTATTTAACACAATTGTTCAAAGATTTAGGGGAAATGAAGCATGAATCAGATGATATAGCTACAGGCCGAGTTAACACATGAAATTTTAACACAACATTTCTCATCATAACGGGAGATTAAACTAAAATTTTCAAATCAATTGGCCGAGTATACGATTTTACAAGATTTTTCAAAATATCAGAGGCAACTTCGACCTAGGGCTTCAAGAACAGCCCTAAGACACACCAAGGTTCCATTATTCCATAAGAAATCCACAAGAATTTTGAGATTTATTGTTGTCTTTATAAAATCAAATAGATCTGAACATAAAATCAATAGATCTAATCATCAACATATAGATCCATTTAAATATCAACAAAACCCATCATAATTCATCATCTCAGAGAGGGAACAAGCCAAAATACCGTTCACCCAAGGAATCTACAAGCTAGGGTGGCGGTTGGATCGGCTAAGGGCCTCGGGCGACTAGGGCACACAATTGTTCAAAGATTTAGGGCAAATGAAGCATGAATCAGATGATATAGCTACAGGCCGAGTTAACACATGAAATTTTAACACAACATTTCTCATCATAACGGGAGATTAAACTAAAATTTTCAAATCAATTGGCCGAGTATACGATTTTACAAGATTTTCAAAATATCAGAGGCAACTTCGACCTAGGGCTTCAAGAACAGCCCTAAGACACACCAAGGTTCCATTATTCCATAAGAAATCCACAAGAATTTTGAGATTTATTGTTGTCTTTATAAAATCAAATAGATCTGAACATAAAATCAATAGATCTAATCATTAACATATAGATCCATTTAAATATCAACAAAACCCATCATAATTCATCATCTCAGAGAGGGAACAAGCCAAAATACCGTTCACCCAAGGAATCTACAAAGCTAGGGTGGCGGTTGGATCGGCTAAGGGCCTCGGGCGACTAGGGCACACGACCCTGGCTTGTGAGCGTGCATGCGGTGGCTAGTGGATCTCCGGCGGGAAACCTCGGCGTCCTGGGCTTGCTTCAACGTCCTTGGGTGGTAAGCGCAACCAACAGGAGGAGGGAATGGCTGGGGAGAACCCGCGTGCGTGAAGAAGCACCGTGATAAGTCGTATTCTTGACATGTTAATTGTCATGTTTTTCATACTTTTTCGGTGTTTGTTTGAGCTTACTTGTTGATTTTAATTGATTTTTATATTTTTTTGTAGGAGATCTTGGAATTTAGAAATTTATTATGATTGGAGGGCGAAAGAGACGAATTTGAGCTAAGGCGTGGGCACGCCAATTTCTTACGAGAGTTGGAAGAAAGAAGGAGTCTTGAGTTGGAAAGAGAAATAATAAAACCTTTTAGGAGTCTTTATTTTTCGACTATTATATTTTATTAGGATATTTTGGAGAGAGAATGTCCTCTTTATTATTTTCTACGTGCTTTCTGCTAGGATTAAGATTAAACTAGTTTGATTAAAAACTAGACTGCTAGATTTATTTTAGGATCTATCTCTTCTTTTCTTTCTCCTTCCCCAGGCACGCACACCCCTCTTCGCTTTTTCTTTTTTTTTTTCTTCTTTTATTTTTTTTCATGAATAATTGGGAGACTTCTCCCATGTTTATGGAGTATTAATTTATTTTTCCATCAAAAGGATTAATCTAGATTTGGTTCTTCATGATTTGTGAGATCTAATTGAATTTTCTATTCTCTATTCTCTTTTATTCGTATCTCTTGTGATTATTATCAATTGTGTTTGATTGGTTGATGCAAAGTGGCAATTTGTTCGATTGTTGAAACGCATATCGTTATTTAGGACGGTTAAATCTGTAATTGTTTGATCGTTCTAATATTTGTGACAAATAGCATAGTTGATTACTAAGGGTTTTCGATTGTATGCTTAGGGAGATATATGATCTAGTCTAAATGATCCTACATGTACGTTTGTTGGCTAGAATTATTAATAGATTAAATTCTATAATCGTATCTAGGGTTGTCTGTTGATTAGAGAAATAATTAGAGATCGTATCCTGGTTATCGAACAAGTAAGGAAGGATAGGTTGTTAGGTCGTACCAATAACCATAACAAGTTTAATCGAGATTAGGAAAATTATCTTTGCATCCGTGATCGAATCGTTGAACCATTTCTACAAGTTTTTCCTTTGGTTGGATAACTTCTCTATTTTTAATCACTCATTTTGTTTTCGTCTCTAGTTAGATTTTATTTTATTTTTTTAGTTAGATAAACTCATCAAAACCCCCCATCATTTTTATTTTTATTTCTTTCACGAATAGTTGCATCAATACTCTGTCTAGCTAATCCCTGTGGATACGACCCTGCTTACCACTACTACAATTATTTTAGAAGCAAGATTTTATTATTGTTGGATTTGACTCTCATCAATTTTTGGCGCCATTGTCGGGGATTGGTTTCTAATTAGACTTGTTTTAGTGCACTATTCTTTTGTGCAAGAGCCTTAAACTTTATGGAGTTTTATTCTCAGCAGTTCGAGCAAAAGGATTGTCACGGGGAAAACACGTGTCAATCTGAGTTTTGTGGAATTTGTGACGACTCCCAACACCTAACTTGTTTTTGCCCAACATTTCTCTATGATTCTCAAGGGCATTCTCAAGTTGGAAATTTTCAAGAGCCGCAACGAGGTAGCTTTGATAGATTTTATGATAGCTGCAACTCTGAGTGGTTGGGCGATTACTCGCCTTCTACACCATTTGCTACCCAACAACAATATCCATCGAGTTCGATCATATCTCTTGAAGAAATTGTTAGGTCGATTACAGTTAGCACTTTACAGGTTCAATAGAAGACTAGGAGCAATCTTAAGAATCTAGCAGATCGTCTGGACCAACTTGTGTCCTCAGTGAGCGAAACCGTATCTGGAGTTGAATTGTCATCAGAAACGGTGGTAGATACCTCGAGTTGTGCTACAGAGTTGACATAATCTTCTAAGATAAAGCAATAATTCATGGAGGAAACTGAACAAGTTGTTGTTTTTCAATCTCAAAGTGATTTACCTCCTAGTAATTTTATGGGTGTTGTTGAATTTAAAGTGCCAAAAAATCATGACTCGAGTGATTTGGATAAGTTGAAAGTTGTATTTTTCAATGATTCAACCTTTGATAGTTCACTAGAGTTTCAAGATAACTTATATGAATCGTATTGCTTTCCTCTAACTGATACCATATCATCTGTTACTTGTACTGACGATTCATATTTTATTTTGTAGGTGCCGGAATTGCCACTATTGATTGTTGAGAATTTGATCAAGGATTAAGAGAAAAGTCTTTTGCATGAGTTGAAAAAAATTAAAAAGGGTATTAGTTGAGTCCCGAAAATGATGTCTAGCCAAAGACCTTAAAGAAAGACACTTTTTGGGAGACAACTCAAATTTTTATTTTGTTATTTATATTCTTGATTTTTATTTTTTTAGGTTGGTATTTGGCTGTTATTTTTATAGTTTTGATAGGATTTATAAAATATTTTGAGGTAGGAACGATTTTCTTCATAAGACGTGGGCACACTTACACACGTAAAATGTATTTTTTCTCTTAATATAAGCCGTGACCATGCCTTAATAAAAAAGGTTCCTGTGAGGCTGTTTTGCGTCAAGGATTTTCCAGTTTTAGTAATAAAAAAAAATCAAAAAAATAAAAAAATCGGATAACTCAAGTAACTCTTCTCCTTCCTAAGAGCACCCACAATGCTTTGGGTCTCTTAACAAAAAATTACATGCCACATGGAAAATAGACTCAGTCTATAAAAAAAATACTTCCCAATGCAATAAAAAATGGACATGGTCTAACTTATGTGGCAATGAAAAAAAGAGACCAAGTCCACACTTGGGTCTATTTTGAACCCAAGTATAAACCCAAGCACTCATCATTTGTTTTTAATTTAATTTTTCTTTTAATAAATAAAACATATTAGAGCATTTTTCTTACTTGATTTTGTCCATGTCATTTAAGACCCAAGTATAAAAAATTAGACCCAAAGCATCGTGGATGCTCTAACTACTTTCACATTCACAGCCCTAATCTCAGAGTCACAGCCCTAACTCTCGAATTGCTCTTCTGCAGAGAAATCGATTCCCGTCCTCGCCTCTTCTCGCCGCCGCACTCAGACGACCACCGCGCGACTCTCTTCTCCGCCCGAGACCGCTGTCAGGTACCAGAAATCCGCGATTCCGTCATCCGCTGCTCTTCTCCCGGCGAACCTGCTGTTCTTTTTCCGGCGAGTGGAGTTCTCCGCGACCGCAATCCGAGAGGCGACCGCTACTGAACGATCAGAAAATTCAGTTGCAGCAGGTCCGACGGTCCTCTGCTCTTCTCTCGCGAAGGATTGCACCATCTTCAACCTTGACCGCTGTTCTAAAATCTTCGTGAGGAAACCCGCGCCCAGACCTGAATTTTTCCGGCGAGCCATCATCAAATCACCGTGTCCTGACCAGATTGGCGGAGAAAACAGGTCGTTTGCATAGGTTTACTGATTGTCTTTAAGTCCAGCCGCCGCCGCCTCCTCTGTCTTCACGACCGCCTCTTCTTCATTTGCCCCGTTGATTTATTTGTACAGCATAATCCATTCACGAATGCTGTTCTGATACTGTTTTCTCGGTGAACCATGTCTCGGAACTTTTTGGGAACCACCATTCATTGGTAAGTTCGCTAAACCTTCTGAAAGAACTTCTGAAAGAAGGCAGCCCGATCACCCTCTGAACTCTACTATCGAGTTAGAGCACGAACAGTCACCGGTTGATAATCAGCTGCCGGAATCTACCGTGAATTTCATTAGATTGTCTCCACAATCTGGCACCTCCTTCACCAGGACACTCTATTTTGGCGCGCACATAAAAGAATAACAAGGTTCACCGGCTGTTCCATCCACTGCTGAGACCAGCGACTCGACACCTGGACAACTCTTTCAGTTTCACTGACCACCATCAGCCATAGGGCCCGACTATCCAACCTCTGAAGTTTGTCGTCCACTTCTGTGCCCAGTCAACTAATTTTGTGGCGTACTATGAATTACCACGGGCCGCGCCACTAGCACGAGTAGCCAGGGAAAAAGGAAAATGCAAACGGATGCTCTACACAACCAGGGGAGTTCTCTACTTCTCTTGTTTTTATTTTCTATATTTTGGTTAAGCATTGAGTTTATTTCCTATATTTTGCTTAAGCATTGAGTTGGTGTCATTGAGGACAATGTCTTAAAAATGGTGGAGTGTCCTTTGTGATGCAAAATAAACTAAACAAAAAAAAAGTAAACAATTCATTTGGTAATTTAGTTTTAAAGACAATGTTTATGTCAGATCTTAGATTTGGTAAGTGTTTGACTTAAACTTAACGGATCAATATGTTTGTTATAATGTAATCAATACTCTTTGAATCAATATGTTTGTTTTGATCGAAATTATGAAATCAATATGTTGGTTGTTTGTTTTAAATTCTACTGGAATTAATACTCTTTGGTTTAGTTTATATGTTATCCCATTTTGATCCTGAACCGTTTTGGAAAGTGTCTTGTCCCGGACTGGTTCATAAAAGTGGGACAGGTACCGGGATAAGTCAAATCCCGAACTGTCCCGGACCGCCCCCACCCCTATCCAATCAACATAGACTGATTCCCAACGGTGACCGGGAAAACTCTGGCGAAAGCGCGACAGAACCAATTACCAAATGGCCGGAGTTTTCTGAACCCGAACCCGTTGCACTGGAGACCATAGCCTTCGGCTGGTCGATCGAAAAAGATGAGATGTGTAGCGGTTGAGTCCGGTCGCCGGAATCCAGCTAAAAAACGGTGGTTTCCAGACACAAGGAGGCCAGGATTCGACTTCAACATGGTGGCGAACGGTCCATCAGAAGCGGCGTCCGTCCGACGAAGGAGACTGGTCAAGGGTTGACAGGAACTCTCGAGCTCTCCTTTGTCGGACGGACAAATGCTTTTCATCATCCGTCGTTTGGTTCTACTCCGCCGCAGCCGTCGACACTCAATGTTCACCTTGTAAAATTTGAAAATTATACTCCTTCCAATCCAACTTATATAAAAACTATACTGATTCAAGTCAACGTTCATCTAGTCAAATTTGAAAATTACACTCTTTCACAACCCAACTCATATAAAAACTACACCCATTCAAAATCTAGCTACCACACAAAACCAATAATAAAAAAAATATTCAATTCTCTTTTTTTTTTGAGCGAAAACAAAATTATAAAAAAATTACTATATTTCCATTTCTGATAATTGAATATGTTAATTTTTTTTTGTATTTTAGAGTATCTATGTAGATAATTTGGAGCTGACATTTTTTTGTATTATAGAGTATTTATGTAGATAATTTGGAGATTTAGGAAAACTTTTTAAAATTACAAAATATTTAAGTAACTTAAATTGATATTTTATTGTTTTTGTTTTTTCTTTAATCAAGATCATAATTCAAAATTTTGCTATAACCAATAAAATCAGATTAAACAGGTCAATTATAATCTGACTTCAAAGATTAAGTTCCATAATTCACATACCCCACTAAATATTCAAAATTAACATAAAAAACTAGGTGCAAATGGTAAAAGCACAAGTGCTTCAATCAGTTACTGAATTCAAACATCAAGTGCTGATAATATATAGGCTTGACCATAGAAAAGGAGATCGATTTCACAGTTGAAATAAACCTCACAAAATGTGAATCTTAGGCAGCCTTGTGAATAAGCACCATCCATCCTCTCTAAACAAGCTGAAAGAAAAGAAGTGAATTGGTTGCTAGACTGAGCAGGTTGCTGACTTGATCCTTCTTCTCTCACTTGAGTTCGTGAAACTCCATCAAGGAAATTTCTCACGCGTTTTACTGGAACCACATTTTCGAAACCACTATGTGTAGCAATGAGCACGCTAACCACACCTCCCTTAACATTGAAAACAGGTCTGCCAAATGATTGTATCTTTCATTTTCTTATAGATTCACACTGAAACCCATGTATCTCAAGAAATCGTAAGTTGTCATCAAGACCAGCAATGTACTGAGATAGTGACATAAGTTTTATATTTGTTTCGGATTTATCTTTTGATGTTGAAAGCAACTTCCCACAAGAGAAAGAAAATAGAAATCCACCTGATGTGCCATTGCATAAATGTCCAACCCTGTAGTTAGCCAACGTCCCCTCCAGCTAACTGTGCAATATTATCAAATTTTTTTGTCAATCTTTAAAAGGGCTAAACTAGAATCCTTCGAAGCTCTGTCTACTTTTTAGACAGAAATGAATTGAGCATCACTAAATCCTCGGATTATCTATTGCTTGGAGGTTAGTGATGCTCAATTCATTTCTGTCTAGAAAGTAGACGGAGCTTCGAAGGATTCAGGTTTATCTCTTTTAAAGATTGACAAAAAATTTGATCATATTGCACAATTAGCTGGAGGAGACGTTGGTTTAACTACAGGGTTGGACATTTATGCAATGACACATCAGGTGGATTTCTACTTTTCTTTCTCTTCTGGGAAGTTGCTTTCAACATCAAAAGGTAAATCCGAAGCAAATATAAAGCTTAAGTCACTATCTCGGTACATTGCTGGTTTTGATGACTGACTACCTGCGATTTGCGATTTGTTGAGATACATGAGTTTTAGTGTGAATCTATAAGAAAATGGAAGATGCAATCATATGACGGACCTGTTTTCAATGTTAAAGGAGGTGTGATTGGCGTTCTCATTGCTACACATAGTAGTTTCGAATATACGGTTCCAGTAAAACGCGTGAGAAATTTTCTTAATGGAGTTTCACGAACTCAACTAGAGAAAGATCAAGTTAGCAACCTGCTTAGTTCACTTGTTTTCTTTCAGCTTGTTTAGAAAGGATGGATGATGCTTATTCACAAGGCTGCCCAGGATTCACATTTGGTGGGGTTTTTTTTGTACTGTGAAATCATTCTTCTTTTTTCTATTGTCATACTTATATATCATCAGCACTTGATGTTTGAATTCAATTCAGTAACTGATCGAAGCACTTGTGCTTCTACCATTTGCATCCGGCATGTTTATGCTAATTTTGAATATTTAGCGGGGTATGGTGATCTATGGAACCTAATCTTTGAAGTCTGATTAGAATTGATCTGATTTTATTGGCTATAGCTAAATTTTAAATTCTGATCTTGATAAAAAAATATTAATTTAAGTTACTTAAATATTTTGTAATTTTAAAAAGTTATCCTAAAGCTCCAAATTATTCACATAAATACTCCAAATTATTTACATAAATATTCTATAATACAAAAAAATGACATCTCCAAATTATCTACATAAATACTCTAAAATACAAAAAAGAATTAACATATTCAATTATCAGAAATGGAAATATAGTAATTTTTTTTTTATAATTTTGNAGAAGTGTATTTTTTTTATTATTGGTTTTGTGTTGTAGCTAGATCTTGAATGGGTGTAGTTTTTATATGAGTTAGGTTGTAAAGGAGTGTAATTTGACTAGGTGAACATTGAGTTGAATGAGTATAGTTTTTATACGAGTTGGGTTGTGAAGGAGTGTAATTTTCAAATTTTACTAGGTGAACATTGAGTGTCAGCGGCGGCGGCTGAGAACCAAACGATGCGGATGTCGAAAGAGACGAACATGATATAGACAACAATATGCAATTTCTTCATGTGTATTAGGTGAAACTGAATAAGAAAGAAGCTACATATTTTCTTAGCTAAATTTTGTTGGTTATAAAATTTCGTCACTTTCCATTAATTTGTTATAAATTCATCAATATTTAAGTTTCATGTTGTCAATGACCATATCGTAGAGAGCTTATACGTGTCATATTTTATCATCAGAAGTGTGCTATATATATATTACTTCCTAGATTAGAGTAGTTTGCCTCGTTTTCTTGGTATTTTTTTGTTACACCTTTGAGCATTTGAAACTCAAACAAACTTTCTGTCCTTTATAGTGAAACTGGCATGAGATTTCTGGTTGCTTGATTATGACTTCTATCTCATGTTTTCTTTTGTTGCTTGGGAAACAATAACAAAAATAAAATATCACACATTTATTCTGGTTTCTTTTGTCCTCATGCCACATTTATTTGTTGAATTGAGGAAAGGAATGGAACAAACAACTCATTAGAGATACATTTGAGAAAGTAACAAATTCCATTTTGAAGATACTTCTTATGGATCATAATAAACCAGATTCACTGACTTGGCACATGAAAAATTAAAGGAGTCTTCTCGGTGAAATCAACTTTTACTTGATTTTAAAGAATGAGAGTAAGAGGACTATGTAGCGTGAGAGCAGCAATTGGAGTAAATTGTAGGTAAATTGTAGATGTCTATGTGGAAAAGAACTAAGAGCCTCAAAGCAAAAAAACAAGCTGAAACACTTCATGTGGAAAGGCTTGAAAAATGCTTTACCTATAGAAAATATGTTTAGGAGGAGGATTAAAGACAATGATAGATGTCGGGTGTGTGGGGAGGATTCTAAATTTGTGGCCCATAGTTTCTTTCTTGTATTAGGGCAAAAAAATGTGTGGCAATTGACAACTCTTTCATTTTTTGGGATGGTTGCGAAGACTATCAAGACAACTTTTGCAAATGGTGGATTAGATTGTGTTCAAGTCACAAAATAGAAATTTAAAGAGATAAGTTGCAATTAACAGTGTATATCTTGTGGTGGCTTTGGAAAATGAGGGATTTCTGGGTTTTCGAAGGGAAATGGTGGAAGGAGATGACAGTGGTTAATAGAGTTGTTTTGGAATGACATGATTCATGTTGAAGTTTTGGCGAGGGTCTGTTTCTTTTGAAGAGAGGCATGCGGTTGTTTGTTGGCTGGGAGTTGTCTTTTCTATTTTGCCGGGAAGACAAGTTTCAATAAGAATTCCATGGGATATCCAGTAGTAGAGCATTTTATCTTTGTACAAGTTTGCTTTGTATTTTTTGGCTTTGCTCTGGGGAGTTCAGGTCTGTTTGTAGTTAGTTGGTTTTGAGTAGTGGGAGGTTTTGCTATCGATGATGGGTCTATTGCTTTTAGTTGTTTTCTTTCTTAGTCCTTGTGTTGTCTTGTTTGTTTGTTACCTTTTGGGTTTATAGTCTACTATTGCTTTTAGATGTTTCTTTCTTAGTCCTTATGTTGTCTTGTTTGTTATGTACCCTATTGGGTTGTTAGTCTACTACTAAGTTGTGTAAATCTAAGAGAGGTGTAAATTGTGACTTGTATTCATTACGATCATTTAAAAAAAAAAAACCGTGCGAGGATCGGTGGATTGACACGTGACTCTAAACGTCACACAGAGTCACAGAACAAAAATAAAAGAAAAAAGAAATCCGCAGCCGAATGCGATTCTTGTTCTTGTCCTTCACTATCTTCTCCAAACATTCAATTATTCATTTTACTTAATTTATTTCCAGACAACAACAATGACAAAATCATAAATTATGAACGAGGAACACTAATTGACCCGATCATTCCCTTATTCCAGACACTCTTACCTGATAATAAAGCACTCGCCCAAGTTGCCAAACCCACTTTCATACGAGAGAAATTGCCGGATATTTTCTTGTTCTCTTGTTCTGTTACTCCTCTTGAAGATTTTTGCTAATATATTGTTAGGATTGACATTTTCAGTTGTTGATCTTGTGGGCTTAGGGTTTCTTGTTCGGTTTTTGAGAAAGCATCGTACTTTTTCCTGGTTAATAATAACTAATAAATATTCAAATTTTAGTGAAGCAGGAAAGTAGTAAATATGCAGCAGCCAGGGCCAATGTTTCCTGTCATGCCCTCATTTTCTCTGACCAATATCACCACCGAGCAGATTCAGAAGGTATTTCTCTTAATTTTGTTTTTGTAAATTTGATTGAGGTTGTGTTTGGCTGAAGAAATTTAGATTGGTCGAGGATTTTTCTTGCTGTGATGTGAAGTTCCATTGTTTTTTCCCCATATTGTTGTGGAAATTTGAAAGTTGGAGTTTAGTATGGAAATGATGCNGAGAATTTGAGTTTCAATTTTAACGAACAGACTTACGTGCTATTATCTTGTTAGAGATTATGCATTAATTGCTGCAACTGCATGAAAATGCATGGGTTTACTTTTATGGTTTAATGTGTTTAAGGCCATTTACACTATAGCCAGATGATTTGGTTACTTACCTGATGTAGAAACTGATCGAAATAGGTCAATGAGAAACAACATGGGACATGGGTGGAGTGTGATCAGAAAAGACTAATAATGGAGATTTGGAGTTAATATGTGTGAGATGTGGATTTGTGTACTTGGGTGGCTGTCAATTGTGATCATTTTTTTCTTGCGGTAAAGGATGATTATTTCTGTATGCTGTTGGACAACTACTTGTTTGCGTCCTTTAGAGTGATTTCTAGAAGATAATACCTTTGAAACCATCGAATGTTAATCAAACTTGGTCAAGAGAATTCTGGTTTGGGGATGGAGAGTGGACTTTTCTGATTGTGGTGATGGCCCACGTGCTATTGTTACAAGAAAGAACGGTCTTTTTTTTTTAAATGAAAACGAATCCTTTTCAACGAATTTTGTGTATATTTAACTCAATCGCTATTCACCGCTCCCCTATTACTACTCACCGCCCCCCTCCTTGGACAATTTTGCCCCTTCCATTTTTTTCAAAAAGTAAAAAAAAAAAAAACCCCGTCCG